TTGATTTGAATTTGGAGATGCTATCTGCAGAATGAAATGAATAGTACAGTGAGGTTAATTTTCTGCACTTTAGATTGCATGATGACTTCCAGTTTGTCAAGAAATTTTGTTTTTTCTCTATGTTCATCAGCGTCACAACCATGTGACTTATTCTTCATAATATCCATGACGGACTGTACTAAGATGTCCATGCACAGCTGGAACATGTTTGTCTGCTCATTCCATGCTCTTAACAGAATGATTTATGACAGGACTGCTGTAAACAACTAATGTGCAACTGGCAGATGGTTATGTCTGTTCACATTTGACTGTTAGTTTTCTTCTCTTTCATATTGTACCGTGCTGTCAGAGCAGCGGCTGTGAGGAAGACAGTGAAGGGCGCTGGGTGAACATGCGATGGCCTTTCTGCCCTATTGTACATGTGCACTGAGTCACACGTCATCCCCTCAAAGAGCCTGCTAGTGTTGTGAATCAGTGTCCTTGAGCGGCTCAGTAACAGACAAAAAAAAAAAAAAAGAAACGAGCCTCAAGAATCCTGCTTGACCGCCTCCACTCGCTGCCATGCCCCTTAATTCTCAGCACCCGTGCCTCGCTGCTACGCTGCATGCAGGAAATCTGTCCCGAGTTACTGCTCAACCCTTGTGACCGTGTCTGGGGTGTGATCGTGCTGCGGCATGATTCAAACATAATCTTGGCATCTCAGCAGGTGTCTTTGAAGTGGCCTGCATGCAGAGGCCATCTCACGGTGCTGTGAAGAGCGGCAGGCTGCTGGGGATGGGCTTCGGCATGGCTGCCTGTGAAACTGTGCTTGTCTTTGATGTCGTAAACAGAGCAGGCAGGGCTGGCTGGCAGGGAGGCAGGCAGGCGCGGTGAATGGGATCAGTGGCACTGCACTGGTCAAGCTCAAGCGAGCCAGGGGCTGCCTGTTTCACCCCAAGTGGCAGTTAACACTACAGCTTGTGTCAATAAGATACTGAGTGCCAGATTGGAAGTGTCTCCAAGTATTTGATTGAGTCCCCTGTGTAAAATCAGTTTAACTCATCCTTATTGTCTGAACTGCCACATTACCTTTCCCTCAAAGGAGAAATAGTTTTTTTATGGTTTAGTAAAGTCACAGACTTTTTGGTCACGGGCATATTTGAATATTTGTGTTGTGTTATAGCTCGGTATTACAGCTCATCTCATAGATACATGTACAGATACTTATAAAAATCCATAAAGTTTATCTCAGCAGGTTCATAAACAAACCATTTTTACTGCTGAGTGCAATGAACATCCTTGGACTTGTGCATTGGTGGTAAGGTAAGAGTGTTAGCTGCTGCAGACAGAGCTTTGGTGAAGTATGCTTGTGTGAATGCATGCTCTGCCCAGCCTGGCAACCCTGCATCTCTACACTCACTGCTTTCACCTGATGTGGCACCGCCTCTGTCAGGCCTGAACGAGCGCCCAGCCAGCTCTGCTTCTTCAGGAGAGATGAAGGCATCTCGGAGCAACGCTGTGGGGGTGGGGGAAGCTAGCAGCAGCCTAAGCCTGGAGCTATCAGAGGCTGGAGTGCATAGCCAAAAGCATGTGGGTTGGACATGGTGGGTGGAAAGCTTGGCTTAACTTGGTGTGACAACCGTAGAAGCAGCCCTACACTGCCCCCGAATGGCCGAGGCTCATCACTGCAACCTTGGGTTCACCAGAAACACAGCTAGTCATAATTACAGCACGCTTCAGTTGTTGTGAGTGCATGTCAGAACAAATTATGTAAGTAATGAGGCTGAAAATGCTAAAGGAGTTGAAACACACTGCACTGCTAATGCTCATGTGGTGAGAACACAAAAACAAACAATGGAGTGCACTCAAACAGAGATAGACCTAAATGAAATAACAAGCCACTGTGCACAGTAAGGAAAAGATTAATTATAAATTAACCCTCTCAGTTAGGTTGTCAGAGCCTGCCTCCTGCCTGGATTTTACTCTAATCCGGGTCGGCGAGGTGCAGTGCCCTCTTTTGTATGGGAGAATCACAAATCGCAGGAGGTGTTGTCCAGAGGAGAATTAAGCTTGCATGTTCCATCACTCCCTTTGGTTCGTTTTACTAAAATCTGGGCTAATTCCTCATAAACATGGTTGGTGTTGTTGACTCCAGCAGTGCAAGGAGAACACACTAAAATCCCTGAATGAAGGGAGGGCGGCTCCTGGGCTGCTGGATTAGAGGCTCTGTGTTAAGGGCCTCTCCCGGGCATGCCTCAGGGACAAGGACATTATCCACATGACACATCACAGGCTCCCTGGCAGTTGATTAAAATGGGCAGGGATTTGTAGATTGAACCTCAACAAAAGTACTTTTGATGTGATCAAACTAGAATAAAGAGGCTGCTTGTTAAAGGTGTGCAGGAGGTATTTTAAGCCTTTTGTCTTTAAAAGAAACCCGAGGCGTTGCAGTTAGGCCTGGTTTGAGGGGAGACACTGATGTAACACTCTGACAATGTACCATCTCTTTGTGGGATGTATCATTTATTATTAGGGTTGTACAAAATGTAAATAATTTGGCAATTATATTCATGCTGTTTAGGCTATTTTGACCAATCCAATAGCCTCGCACAACCCGTGATGCTCACACCCAGGCCAGATGATAGAGGTTAAGATGCTAGACATGTAAAGGAATGAACCAAATTTGGGTTTATTGCAATTAATCATGTTGCATCAATATTTAACAAATGCAATTTTTTTTTATATATATTGTGCTGCACTAGTTAACACCTGCCGCCATCAAAGGTGGGAAATACTTGTCTTTCTTTGTATGTGTATGTGTACATGTGTGTGTGTGTGTGTGCGTGTGTGTGTGTTGCATTTGCCTGCATGCAAAATATCTCGTGAACCAGTGGTCAGATTTTTATTGAAACTCTCAAAAAGTAATCGTTAATGAGCATCTACAACTGATTTACTTTTGGAATCGTCCCGATTCATGATGGGTGCTACGGCGAATCGATCTTAGCAAACACAAAAATGGCTGTAACTCAGATATGTCTGCAGATATTGAGCTAAAGAAGTGGTGTTGTCTACATTTTTGTAGTGGGTATACTGTGCTTAGAAACCAAAATACACTGATTAGTACAGTCTATTCATCAATTTATTTGATTTGCCTGAATCACCTCCTAGGAAGCGGAAGATAATGGATGGATGGATATATTTTACATATAGACACACGCACACACGCATATTATCATATTTTTTATAATAAGTTATTTTCTTTTTTGTTCAGACTTCCAAAGTAAATTGGACAAAATATGAAAGTTATTTAGGCTTTAAATGGCACATGTAAATATTAATGTTTTTTAAGTGTTTTTTATTATAATGTGTTGTTTTTTTTGTTTTGTTTTTTTAAGCAATGTGACCAAGAATCATTGTTTAATAAGGGTTTTGCTGTTTATTGTTCTCAAAACTTCACGCTGGTGGCTTCAAAGGTTACGAATACTTTTGACACGACAAAATATAAATATCCGGTCTAAGCTTTTATTCTGAAAAGCCCCTCACCCTTGTTCCGGTGATGCTCTGCGTCACTCCCGCTAGCTTCATGCAGCTGGAGCAGCTTGCGATGGCACACGGGCCTGGCGGAAAACAAACAGACCGTTCCCTCCCCCCCATAAAAGAAGAGGGACACCGCTGGTCTCTGAGGGCGTTTATGACGCATTTCGCCCAGATGTTTCAATCTTTCAACGTATCAATGACACATGTCCAATATGTCACTGGGCACTTTTAAGTGGGTATACAGAAATTCCCAAGCTTTTCTAGTGAGTATACGGCGTATACCAGCGCATCACGTACACCACACCACTGAGCTAAACGTTGGTGTAGTAGTAGCTGAGAGCCATCCCAATCATATACTCTGTGTGCTAGCACATGATGAAAGTTGGCGGCAGTGTGTGTGTGTGTGTGCTTCAAAGATTGCTGGTTTCATTTGTACTGGATCCTATTGAAGCGATTTACAATAATTTTTCATCTGATACAAAATTACGTTGCAACAATGCTGGGGTCGCTTGGCTGTGTTTTCGGTTAAAATCAGAAAAACGTTACATCATGACAAAATATCCTACAGTGATCTTTCCTCGATGTAGCTCAGATAGCGGAACGTCTGGCTCCGCAGTGAACCGTCGGAACGGCGGCACTGAGATGTTAGAGATGTGGAGGAGGGCTAGGAGATAGAGATCTCTGGAGGGTGTGGGGGAGGTGGAGGTAGCATCAGTGGGGACGAGTTGGGAGTTCTGGCTCGCTTTGATGTCTGTGTGTTCTTGCCTGTTGTGGTTGCGCTGGCCTGTGGTCCACTCCTGAAGAGGGGAGCGACGATGGATGAGGCCTGTCCTCTGTGTTTTTGTCCTTGATGGCGGCTGAATCACAGGCCTGTCAACAGCACAACACCACAGTCGAGCTGAATCGTTTTAGTTACACACAGAGATGCTGCTGCTGCATCCAGCACAGCAGGCATGCTCGGCTTCTTTGTGACTGCAGTGGATTTGCTCCTGGGGAGGGGGTTATGGTTTAGAAATTTTAAGAGGCTGCATGAAGTCAGGTTTTCCACGGGGGAAAAGACTTCCTCATACGGCTAAATGAGCTTTTGTCATTGCACAAGGTTTATATTAATGCTACTGTAGAATATTAAAGTTTATGAGTAGCTGTTTTATTTTTTCCTTATGCAAGTGGTGTTTTGGTTGCAAATTGAAGCCATGTTTATAGTGGCTGTTGTTGGGAACTAAAAATCAGATCCTCCTCTGCAAACACACGCACACACATACACACAGCTCTAAATATTCCACTAATACTCTGGTGGAAGTGAAGATTTTCAAAAGCAAGTGGATGAGATGTTTTTAGAAGCACTGCGCTCTTTCATGTACCAACATAGATCCATGGTGAGAGCGTTGTACAGCGACTTGTGACAGCAAAATGTTGATTTTTTTTTTCCTCTCCCTCCCATCTCTTATTTATTTATTTCTTTCATTTCCTTTTCTTCTCCGCAGCTCAAATCGAAATAATTCCCTGCAAGATCTGTGGAGACAAATCATCAGGCATCCATTACGGAGTGATAACATGTGAAGGCTGTAAGGTAAGCATCAAGAGACCGAACCTGTTAGTGTGATGGGTGTGAGCGCGATAGAGAGAGGCAAAAGACGGGAAGAACCGAAGAGGTACAGAAAGTTGCTTGCATGGAGGGGGGAAAAAAAAGAGGGGAAACAACATCTGAGAATGTTGCTGAAGTTTTACAATGATTCAGAGAGGGACTGCGATGTGTAAACACACAGAGCGGGATCATTAAAGTGGTCAAGCACCACTGAAAACATCACAGAAAACCACAATTAGTAGGACATAGTCATCGCTTCGCCTTTTCCCTCCCAGGGACACGTCTTCCTCACTGCAGTTTTTTTCTTCTTCCCCTTTCTTTCCACTTCTGCCGCTGCTCCTCATGAAACGACATGATCAAAAAGGAGAGTGCTTTGAATTACAGCAGATTGTTGGCTGTTTGCTACAGTGTGTTTCTCCCATTGAAGCCACCTTTTGTACCGTTTCACACACACCAGCCATTCACAGTGAGAGAAAATTTGTGCTCGGAGTGTATTCTTGTCCCCCGTGCTTGTCACCAGGCACATCATTAGCATTCCTCAACCAGCTTCCACCTTTGCTGTTTGCTCCCGTGTGCGCGTTTGCGTGCGTGTGCGTGTGCGAGGGACAAAAAGAGCTTCCTTTCAGCTCTTTTTGCCGCCTCTCCTCTCCCTCGCACGGGGGCTGGAAGGGATAAAACACTAAAGGATAAAGTGCTGAAATCTATCTTTAATGATTGCTAATTAGTCCAGGCAGAAAAGGCCTTTAATGATATGTGCAAGTACAAAAGTTTGGACCATAAATCATTGCATTATTAAGGAGTGCTGCTTGTCACTGGCAGTTTTACTCTGTTTCCATAATGGCTTCCATTATAAAGCAACTTGGCAGCTGTCAGCTGTTTTCTTGTAATTAAACAGCCAATGAGCAGCTAATTAAGACATATGTGTATGGAGCAGTAGAGTGGGGCATGTTAATGATGTGCTGGAATCAATTCATTAAGTCAAAGGATGAGGAATCCAGTCGGTGTGTGTTTGCAATTCTTTAGCACCACGCATGCCAGCGCTGCATTAATCAACACTAATAACTCCACTGAAGGAAAAATACCATCCACTGTTATCATGCCTACCCAAAACACACCGCCCTCGTGCTGTACACACAGTGCTCTTTAAATGCCAGACAGTAAAACCTTGCAGTCAGGAAAATACCACCACAGTAGTTTTGTTACATTTCAATTTGCCAGCAGAGAAATGAAAATATCACCACTACGAATACAGTAAATCACTGTCCTGCTGCTATAAATCTTGTCAGCATTAAAACACAATGAAGACGTAAAATGATCCTTTGGTGCCAGAAGCTGTTTGCACCCACAGAGTTTCATTCAGCAACCTAAGGATTTTCCATGACCCCCTTCTTCTTTTTTCTTTTTCCTCTTTGAGCAGGGCTTCTTCAGGAGGAGTCAGCAGAGCAATGCAGCCTACTCCTGCCCCCGTCAGAAAAACTGCTTGATCGACCGCACCAGCCGCAACCGCTGCCAGCACTGCAGGCTGCAGAAGTGCCTGGCAGTGGGAATGTCACGAGATGGTAAGTGATTCAAAAGGAAGGCAGCAACAAGTGGGCGGATGCAACGAGATGGTGTGAGGTGAAGAGGGTCATGCTGAGGCGGCGCCTTTTATTTGCTATAAAGTGTGTGTGTGTGGGGGGGGGGGGGGGGGAGATAACTAAATCAAACCAGTTATTTAGTTTGTTTGCTGCGTTAAACCTAAATCCTGGTGGAGAAACAAAAAAAAGATGGTCGGACTTAATGAGACAATGTTTTTTTCTGAGAGGAACGCAGCTATTGAACACCTGAGAACATCCGTTTAGGTTCATCATCTGCGACTAGTGGGCGAGCACTTAGGCTGTGGGCCTAATTTGTTGCTGTAAGAAAAGCCCAGTTTTTATAAAACAGGAGGTCGTTAGAGGGTGTTATTATTGCTGCTGCAGCTGAGATACAGTAATGGGAGCACGCAGGCAGAAGCACTCCATCTTCGTCAGACAGGTCCAGACAAGACTGGACCGAGGAGACTGCTT